TGGCCAAGCCCTAGGATGTTTTTTTTTTTTCCTTCTTTTTTTCTTTCTTTTTTTCTTTTGACGGCCTAGACTTCCGACACGTGCGTCCGATGTTTTTGTGGACAGAATCCATTTGGACCGACTCGCCAGACTCTTGCCTTTTTTTTTGTCTTGGACTCGTGCGGTTTCACACTGCCTCCATTTGGACCGACTCGCCAGACTCGCGCGTTTTTTTGTTTTTTTTGTTTTTGGACTCGTGCGGTTTCACACTGCCTCCACCGACCGAGCGGAGGAAGGGGAGGACCTACCAGTTCATGCGCGCATTGCAGGCAGGGGGAGGAACGCGCACGTGCTCAACCTCGACGCATGCGCTGTGCGGCAATGCGTTCACGAAGAGAAGTTTTTCCGTTTTGCCCATCGGCCGTCGAGGCGAGGCTTTTTCTTCGTTTGCTGCGCCTGAGGAAGAGGAGAGTGATGGCGTGCTGTTCTTGGAAGAGGAGGGCCAGCCGTTTCTGATTGTTCCTGATTGCCGGATGGGTAGCGCACACTGCTTGGCGCTGGAACGGGGAGGAGGAGTAGGGGGGCGACAATAATAATGGTGAACAATATCATCTGATGGTAAATGCTGCAAAGCGCAGATTGTTTTTGATGGTGGTGGTCCTGCATCTTGCATGGACAATCGTCAGGTCCTGCTATGGTGAATACATTAGGGCAACTGTTAAGAGAAGGGGGGTAAGGCTGGGGGGGGGAGGAGGATGAAGAGTTGCACCAGGTGGTGAGAGAGAGAGAGAGAGAGAGAGAGAGAGAGAGAGAGGTGGGCGGGGAAGCAATCGAGGAGCGATTAACAGATTGGGTGGGTGTTTCAATTTTCAACCATAGCAAATTTTTCCGGAGAGCAGATCGGATCGCTGAGAGAAAAAAAGGGAGTTTGGTGAAAAGGAGAGGGGTGTTTGGTCACGTGGTGTGTACTGGAGAGAGAGAGAGAGAGAGAGAGAGAGAGAGAGAGAGAGAGAGAGAGAGAGAGAGAGAGAGAGAGAGAGAGGGCATAACATAAGATTTGACGTTGACATTGACAGACTGGGGGGCATCTTATTTTTCAACAGAATCGATGACCTCGAGGTTGAATTGGATTCGATAGGGAGAGGCAAGGGTAAGGAGGAAAAGAGCTCTGTTGTGATATGATGTGCAAGACACACACAGTAGGAGAGAGGGAAGGAGAGAGAATTGATCGATTGACGTTGTCATTGACAAACTGGGGGGGGATCTTACTTTGAGCAGAATCGATTGCCTGCCTCGAGGTTGAATTGAATTCGATAGGGAGAGGCAAGGGTAAGGAGGAGAAGAGCTCTGTTGTGATGTGATGTGCAAGACACACACAGAAGGAGAGAAGAGGGAAGAAGAGCGAATTGGTTTCGCTTGCTGCTGGATCTAACAGTTTGATTGGTTTCGCTTTGTGGCTTTGGAAAGTGCTTCAGATACTTAACGATCTCTCTCTGGAGGCTGGAGGTCGTCGTGTTGATGCGTGGAGAAGCAGAGCGAAGGCGGAGGAGGGGAAGAGCTCCGCACTATGTGTTCTATTATAAGATTCGGAGGGAGGTATGCGCTTTCAGAGAGAGGATTGATGTTTGATTCGAGCAGACTGGGAACGGCGCGAGAAGAGAAGCTTTGAGAGATCGGACAGCATAATGTGTGAGAAGTCGAACACCACTAAAGACTGATGACTATAGACTGTAAAAGCTTACGTCGCAAGCACCGGCCGGTGCTATGGTATAGGGTGAGCTCACAGTCTCCCCGCATTGTAAGATTCCGACGTTGTCCGATTTTCCAAAGCGTAATTACCTGCAGGTCCCTCCCATCGACAGCGCGGTAGCTCTGTTGCGTAATTACCTGCAGGTCCCTCCCATCGACAGCGCGGTAGGCGGTAGCTCTGTTCAGCACCCAGATCGCTGCGCTCCGTTAATTGGGGACCCCTTTTGCTGCTTGCTGATGCAAACCGAGTTCTCTCCTCTCCTTCCCGAGGGCTCTCCCTCTTGCCGCTCTCCCTCTTGCCGCCGTCCGTTCACCTCCTGCTCCTGCTCCTGCTCCTGCTCCTGTATAATTAACATACAGAATAATCTGACGACAACTGGAGCAGATTGTTTTCGATGGTGGTAGTCCTGCTCCTGCTCCTGCTCCTGCTACCGTACCGTAGGGAGATCTGACTGATTGACCCTGCGTTTCTATATAGCCGGGATAGCAATCTACGGCCGTGATTTCGTGTGTCAGGAGGGAGGGTTCATTTCAGAGTGCTCCCCCTCCCACTGTTCACTGTTGGTGTAAGAGCGCCCGCCCACCCACCTACCCACCCACCCACCCACCTGGTTCTCCCATTGAATTCTATCGGCATCTTTGTGGTTCGGGGATCGGCGTCGATGAAGATGGGCTTCGGCATCGGCAGCAACGTGACAATCGTCAAAACCCTGCCTGTCGTTATGCTGACTCTGGTACTATTTGCGTGCTATCTTTCGGGGATTTTGCGCTTTTCATCCGAGGAAAACACTCCGTCTGTCGCACGGATCCATAGCCATAGCGTGCCGATCGACCTTGTTGAGCAACGCATGAAGGAGGCTGTTGCGCAGGGCCTGAAGGTTGCAGCAGCCTCTGGATGCCCGCGCTTGTTCAATTCCGCTGGGCATTTGACTTCGAACCAACACGCTCGACTGAACGCGCTTAATGCCTCCGTGCAGTCCTCGGCCGGTGCCAATGTCTGTCAGCCTGAGTTGGTCAGTTACTTGATTAGCACAATCAACGGCCCACAAAATGAGCGACCGCAGCTGTCGTTCGATCAGCTGATGTGGATTGCTGTCACAGTAGCGGCATCGGGAGCGTCGATATTGAATGCGCCGAGTTGTATGGAGGGTGGGGGAGGAGGAGGAGGGTGCAGCCACAACTTCCTTGTGTGGGGAATGGGAAGAGACAGCCATGTTTGGATGAACGCCAACTGCATTCCCGAGGCAGCGAAAGCAGGCGGCAAGATTCGAACGCGAACAGTCTTCCTTGAGAACTACGAAAGCTGGTTCAATATGATCAGAAGCAAATTTCCGACAATGGAGGGGTACCTGATAAAGTATAAATGGACCTTGGGGAGAGCGCAATTTTTCTTTCAGAATCCGTACATCATGGACGTTCCAGACACAATGAAAGACACGTGCTTCAGCGTTGTCTTGGTTGGTAAGTGTCTCATCCTCCGGCATCGCAATTGTGGCTTGTCTTTTTTTTTTTTTTTTTTTTTAATAATTAATTTATGGACCTGAGATTGGAGGGGTACTTGATAAAGTTTAAATGGATGTTGGGGAGAGCACAAGAGTTCTTTCAGAATCCGTACATCATGGACGTTCCAGACACAATGAAAGACATGTGCTTCAGCGTTGTCTTGGTTGGTAAGTGTCTTATCCTCCGGCATCGCAATTGTGGCTTGTCTTTTATTTATTTATTTATTTATGGACCTGTCTCCTTATCCCCCTATTCCCCTATCCTCCGGCATCGCAATTGTGGCTTCTGTTTTTTATTTTTATTTTTCTTATTGACCTGTCTCCTTATCCCCCTATCTATTTATCTATCTATCTATCTATCTATCTACCAATCTCTCTCTCTCTCTCTCTCTCTCTCTCTCTATTTATCTATCTATATATATTTTTTAAATCTATCTATATATCTATCTATATAATATTTATTTTTATCCTACCCCTTAAGCGGCATTGGCCGCGGGGGGGACGCTAGACGGTCCACTGCTCGCCGGTCCATAGGTGCAAAAATTGTAGTGGCAGTCGGATTGGAAAGATCTGTGGTCGGGGATGAGTTTTGGGATTGGTTTACGGAATTTGAATTGTTCACAGCGCGCCGGTTAATGCTATGAGGCCACGTGTCTGCCTGCTTTCTAGATGACCATCCATCAATCCGAATATCTTCAACACGAGTCGTTCGATAGTATGGAGGGAAAGGACAAACAAAAGGAAAAGGGGAAAGAAAAAGAGGGGGGGGAGCAGAATTGCCTGCCACTTTCTTTAAGTGGCAAATGGTCACTGTATCCGAAGTGTTTCTCCGTCCCGGTACATTCATAGCAGAGGTTGGGTATGTACGAGGCATTCAGGTACGTTGTCTTTCTCTCTCTCTGTCTCTTTTTTTTTTGTGCCTCAACACACCACTCACCGAACGGACACAACGGACAAAAAGTTATGGTTGTGCATCTTTCTGTGTCTCTAGCAGAAGATTCATTCTCATTCTGCACATTTGGTGAGTGGTGCGGAGAGGCCCCCCCTCTCTTTGAAAAATGTTTTGCGGGCGGGGAGGGATGGGGGTGGGGGGGAGAGAGAGAGAGAGAGAGAGAGAGAGAGAGAGAGAGAGAGAGAGAGAGAGAGGGGTCTTTTTCGATGGGCCTAAGTTGAGAGAGAGAGAGAGGTCTTTTTTGATTGGCCTCTCTTGAGAGAGAGAGAGAGAGAGAGAGAGAGAGAGAGAGAGAGAGAGAGAGAGAGAGAGAGAGAGAGAGAGAGAGATTGGCCATCGCCGTCCATCGGCCAGAAGGAGGGCGACGAGGACGACGACGTCGTCGTCGTGCTTTTTCTTTTCTTTTTTTTTCCCTCTTTTTTAATGTGTTTGTTTATTGATTCGTTTTTTTCTCATTCAACCAGTCAATCAATCAATCAATCAATCAATCAATCAATCAATGGATCGCTGTTGGTTATCCAAACAAGATCCGATCAATCAATCCATGTGGGTATCCAATCAAGATCTTTGATTGGATAAGATCGATTCATTGATTGACTGATACAAGATCCGATCAATCAATCCATGTGGGTATCCAATCAAGATCTTTGATTGGATAAGATCGATTGATTGATTGACTGATAAGTTGGTAAGGCATTAGAAAAAACGAATTAATAAACAGATTGATTGTTTTTTTCTTTTTGTCATATGTTTTCACGAATCGATCAATCGATGATCGATTGATCGATAGA